AGAAGGTGAGAGAATGGGATAAGAAGTCGAGGCAAGGGAAAGCGCGGGGACGCTTGGTGAACCCTTGAAGGAGATATCATCCAGAGTAGGAATTGTGCATTTTTTTACGTCCATACCCCCCTCCACACTGAAACTAGGAAAGGTGTTCTCTGTCCATCATTCGATATCCAGTAATTGTCTAGGAAACAGAATTCAGTATTGGTTCCCTCCTATTTCGTCTCATTTGTGAAATTTTTGACAGCTTAATACGCCGAACGTCAGAAGAAACTCACTATATGCCTAAAGACGTAAGTCCGGAGTCAATTGACCAAGGTCAGTTGACCTTGAACATGCTGGCAATCTGATAGAGACCACACTTAACTCTAAATCATGTCAGCTGCCGAAAAAGTACTCCGAATCTGAGCATCGTGCTTTAAACTGACTTCAGATTGCTGTAGATGAATTTTTTTGTATTTAAAAATGAAAATTTCAAAAAGTATCTGAGGGATCTCCCTTTAAAAATAACGAGGTAAGAAAACCATAGCATCCACGTAATAACGTACGTAAGTTCCTTGGAAGGGCAAAAGGTGTCGTTGAAAACCGAGATCTTGTCGCATGATGTCGCCAGTGAGCAGTCTACCGTAACGTCCTCGGAAACTTTGCCTTTAGAGTAGTTGCAGGTTAGGATATGATCGGGATCGGGGCATAGGCCTTGCCCGGTCGTGCGGAAGATGGAGGTGGGGAGGAGGAAGAAAAGGAAGAGGAAGGGGTGGTATTCCTGCATCTCGAAGGCATGCAGGAGGGTCGAAGTCGAGAATGGGAGGAATATGCGAAGATTACAGTCTCAAGTTCCTTTTATAGGGAGTGCTCTGATTTTCCCCTCAAGGACGTGATAAGTTGCATGCGGCAGGGGTTCACGGTAGTGAATAAATATTCAAGTTTCGAAGTATAATATTTATTCATTTAAATGAAATGATTTTGAACCGACGATATAAATAATATGAATGAAAATAGCATGTATAATTTTACAATTAAGAGCTGCAACAATTTCAACAGCATCGTCTTTTCGTTGCATTCTTGTCCAAACTCCTGGATTCAATATAGTATCCAAATCCATCCTGATTGCATTCGACTGCAATTAATGAGACTTCATGGGTGTTTCATAACTTTTAAGCTTGCAAATTGAATGGGAAATGTTTAAATACAATAATATTTCAATAGTAATCCTGACTACTAATAATTGATAGTAATTACTGCCATATCTACTAATTTATTCGTCCAAATAATGGCATTTGGATTGTAATAATTGTTCATAGGCGCTGGTTAGGGAGTTGTGACGTAATTACTGAAAATATTTCCCTTCCTTCCCTGAGGCATCGTGAAATGAGTCGCGATCGTGTCGGTAGAGAATTCACGATATGGAACTTCTTTGAATTCCTGGCTTCTCACTCTTGTTTACGAAAGCGGCGATTGGATGAGAAGCCGTTTCCTTCTCATCCATGAAAGAATGATGGCACGACAGGCCAATAATTAAGGATGGCCAGTGGAGTATTTCAGTTCGCGGAAAAAAAATTGGTCAATTCTTCATGACATGGGTCTTCCTGGGTCATTTCGTTTCCGAAATCCAGGAGGATTTCCTTGATTTCATCTTCCACCAATTTTTTGCTTAGCAGCCTTTCTGGCAGCCGAAATGGAATGAATAAAAATGTGAGAGAAAGTTTAGACTCTGCAAATGTTTGTTTTTTTTTTCCAGCACAATCCATTTTTCGATCATCTCTTAATTGTTATTCATAAGGCTGTGCGTTCGAGCTCCACCGGAGGTGTGTGTGCCAAGTACCAAGCTGGATACTTTTAATTTCTTGGGACACGATGGATATTCAATTGACAGATTATATGGAAACGCCTTTTCCTCTTGACCGTTTTCCCGATGCTTGGGAAGCACTCACGGGTAGACCATTTAAAGCTGATCCCAGTTAGGGGGTAATTCCAATATCCTGGCGGCGGGTTTCGTGATCGAGACTGATGAGTCCTCATCAAAGGGATGAGAACAGAGACCACAGGTCGTTTTCGTGTTGTGTTGATCAGGAGCGTGCATTTTAAACGGAACAGGGAAGTTGAACGTCAGTGTAGAGTCCTCCATCGTACAACTGCACTCCCTCGGATTCACCAGTAACTTCTCGGTCGATGCAGAAAGAGCGGTGAAAAGCCTACAGCTTGTGTCTCTTCGAGCAGACAAGACAGGAGCAAAATCTGTTTCCTTCCCCACAGAAGGTCGTGGCCGACCTTCTGTGAAACCAGTTTTTGCCTTTTCGCAACGGACGTTCCCCATCTTTGTCCCTTGTTTTGACCGACACTTGTGGAGCTTCAACACCATATGTTCATTCCCTAGGGAAACTTCTCTCTCAAGAAGACCTTTTTAAATATATATTCATCGGTTTAAGGCGTCAAGTGTGGCAGTTCACATTCGTTTGGGGAATCCCAGAACACGAGCTATAAAATGAACGTATCCACTCCTGCCTTCGAATCACCTCCCACCGCGCGCCTTCAATATGTAGAGATGCTTCGCGTTGCCCTTCCTTTCCTTCCTCTGTCTTTTCCTCCTCCTCCTCGCTCCTGGAGCCAGCGGGCAAAACCTGTGTCCCGATCTCGATGACATTTTCCCCTGCACCTGCTATCACTTTCCTGATTCCTTCTCTGTTAATGCGGACTGTTCCAGCGCAAGGTCGAGCGAGGAGATTTTCCCCGCCTTCAATGACGTCGTTTGGCCATTCCAAGAGGTCGCGTGAGTCAGCTTGCTTCTACCATTTCGCTGAAAATTATTTGCTGCAGTTTAACTAGCCCTTCAACAAAACCGCTCAAAACATTATTATCTCGCACATTGCATTTGAAAATTGAATCGGAATCCGATGGAATCCAATGGAATGGGAAGGTCCGACCTGATGGCCTTGCTATCACTATGGTAATGCAAAGGTCATCAGGTCGGACCTAGCCAGTTAAAAGGCCCCATTTTCGATTCCATTCCGATTTCGATTCCATTCCGATGATGAAGTTTGTACAAAAGGACGTTATTTTTTCGTGGACTGTGGATCGGTAAAACGGTTCAGTGCCAGAAGGTGGAAAATTGTTCGTGGAATTGCAAGAATGTCGACGGCATAAAATGTCGAAAGGCAGAATGGGAGAGAGTAGGAAATGTCGAATTATGACATGGTGGAACGGAGAAAATGTCGAAAGAACTAGAAAGCCGAGAAATGTCGAAAAATGTCGAATGTGCTTGTCTAGGGTTAAGACCTTTTTTAAAAAAAAGAGTTAGCCTTGGTCTCTTGTTTAGTTAATGTCTTCATAGACTGCTTGTTCAGCCTTCTCAAACTGGAATGATTGTCTATCTTCAGAGATAGGTGGTCATTCCAGTTACTATTAGTGACCTTGAAAGGGGTTCGAACCATACTCGCCCATAAACTAGCAGTCAGTCTCATTACTTGTCATCACTCCCTCGGCTTGTAATTTTCTGGATCGACTGGGTTCGTCTGGATCGTTCGTCTGGATCGGCTGGGTTCACGCTTCACAAGACTCAAAAAGGTGGTGCTTTGCTCGTAAATTGTAGTTATATGTACACCAAAGACAAGTCACGGGAAGGAAAGGTTTACTGAAGATGCCAAGATCGAAACTGCAAAATTCGTCTTGTGACAGAGGGAGAAACTATTTTGAAGGAGGCACCCCATGTGCATCCTTGGCACGAGCCTCGCACCAATAACCACGTCGAGGGATGGCACAACAAGTTGGAGAACATTTTGATTGGCCAAAACCATCCAACCATATTCCTTTTCCTGGACCTCATCGTTGAGGAGCAGTCAACGTTTCAGCAGCGACTGATTGAGCTGGACAGGGGAGAAACACCACAAAGCGAAAGAAATGCGACATTATCAGAGAGCAAAACACTGAAGAAGATAACAGAAGAGTTTGATTTGAGGCCTTTGCTTGACTTCTTAAGAAGCTAACACAATCAAGTTTTGAAATAATTTAACAATTGGACATTTGACTGGATCTTTGCCTAGAATTTATTGATGTGCTTATCGACTCAGCAGAAGTAGCTTTCGACAATTTTTTTTCCATTCCACGACATGGCCTTTCGCCATTTTTGCCTTCGACCATAAGGACGTTCGACGTTTTTGGCCATTCGACTAAAGAGAATTCGATATTATGCCATTCGACCATTCGAGAAGATATCGGTTAAACATTTATCGAGAAACAAATCTGGGAGAGCATGGAAATGTGTCAAGAGATGAGGAGGAACGGGTGAACTCAGGAGTACTAATACAGAATACTCTTAGAAGAGAGTGAGCGATTTCCAAGAAAGGGAGCGAATCTGGCGTTAGCAATTTTGCCCCATGAACGTTAAGTAATGCCACTCATCTCACTCTTTCCTGAAAATAACCACTAACTGTTCCTACTAGTTTGAAAAGTACTCTCTCTCCTTCGTTTCGCGCTCTTAAAAAAGTTATGGATTCTGCTCATATAAGAGGGTAATGCTCGATTGTATTTCCTCGTTTTTAGGCGATAAAATCGCTAACTACAATTCGCTCCTTTTTTCGGAAATTTCTCACCTTTTTCCAAAAGTGTAGGCATGAAAAAGTAACACCCCCCACACTTCAGACTAAAACAGTAAAGGGGCGGGCACTCTTTAGGTCGAGGACTTCGGTATCCGTTGGGTACCAAATTATGGATGTGATATCGGACGGTTTTGTCGATCCTGGTAGCCCGCAAGGAAACCTTCCCACCATTCGTGTACTTTAATGAGACAAACATCCTGTAAATGCAAGCCATACCAAGATCAAAACCACTTGCTTTCGCACCGTCTGTATACAAGAAATCAATCACAACTCTCCGACTTTCGTTTTCAATGCTTCTCCAGAGTAACTTAGCCGCCGGAAAAGCTACTCCTCCGTGGAGGGGCCCTATCCCTTATACCACTCCCATTGTCGCTAAATATCCAATATCCAACGTAATAATGACTAGTGCTGTACATGCTGAGTAAGTCTTATATCGCCCTGGCCCTGGGGTCTGCAGACAAAGAACTTCCTCGAGAAGGACCTCACCTGGAATTCATGCTCTGTGGAATCAAATTTATTCTTACGAAAACATTGAGGTCGGCATTATTCACTTTGTGGAAGACTGGTCACCTGGTCAGGCTCGTCTTCCTAAACCAGGTTTAAACTGAATGTGAATTATGAATTCGCTTTTTTGTGGTTAAAAGCGTCCTTTGCCCAACAAAAAAATTTAAAGAGAATTCTCAATTAAAATCACAGCTCATATCTCGTCAATTGCATTTAATCAAAGTAGACAATGATTGTTTCTCATATCCGTTTCCAGGCAATTCCTGCTGATTGAGAGCGACGTTGTTCGAGAGTTACCGGAGGGAGTGTTCGGAAATGTCACTTTCGAGGCGTTAATCATCTTCCAAGTGGCCGCCGTGCATCCTTCGGCCCTCCTTCCCTCCAAAGATCGGCTCTACCACGTGCAGATATATTTCAGTGGCTTGGCAGAATTCCCATGGGAGGTGCTGCCTGAGCTCACCCATCTCTACTATATGGACCTCAAAAATAATTATTTGACCGATCTGCCGCCTGTTCTAAGCCCAAACCTCACCACGCTCGATCTCGGCGGCAATCAAATAACCAGAGTTGAATATAATTGGTCTGCGCCAAACCTGACGGTTCTCTCCATCGGTGAGTGACTTTATGTTGATTGCGATGACTCGGAGACTACTTGTTTTCATCTTCAGATGATGGGGGTTGTTCTAATGCTTTCCTTCCACCCCGTGCAGACTCTAACCCAATGTCAGGGGTCCAGCATGGGTTCTTCTGGGGTTTGCCGAATTTATAGCAATTCTGGTGTCTTTCCTGCCAACTGGGACAAACTATACTGAACGGAACGTTGGCTTTCCACAGTCGAGCCTTAAATCTCGTGAGCCTGGAGCAGAACACCATCTCCAGCCTGGAATCGCACGCTATCACAGGGACGAGCGGTGCTCGTGATTGAACTCCTCCACTCACCATTGCCCTGCACGTGGATGTTCTTGTATAGCAGGGCATGTTTCGTATTCCAGGATTCACAGTCAACGCGAGCATACGTCTATCGGGGAATCAAATCAGCGAACTAACTGAAGCATCAATCCGCCCGATGCTGGAGGTCTTCTCCTCGGGGGATGGGTACATCGATCTAGCCGGTGAGTTGCACCGCCGTCCGAGCCACAGACTCCCACGTCCCCTTCTTTCACTTCCTCTGCCTTGGCACTTCTCGCCTTCCCCTTGCTTTCCAGAGAACCCGGTCGAGTGAAGACGTAGTATGGCCTGGATTGTGGTCAATCCGTGCTTCCTGGGAAGCGTGAAGGGTCAATGCACGGACGGAACTGATTTTCAAGACTTGGATCCGGAGATCTTTCAAGGCTGCATTTAAATGAGTTTCAACGAAAAATTATTCACTTGGGCCACTTTTAATTGGATTCCAGCAATTCGCGTTGACTCGTAGAATTATTGGGAGATTCCGGTTAAATAAGATTTTTCACCTTAATTCACCTTAATTGGCCAAATTTTTCGCCTTATTCTCTTTGATATTGCTCTGAGGGTAGAGAGAAAGTAGAAGCAGAGTGAAAAGCAGAATGACAATGGCTCTTCAGTCAACAACAACCCGCCTTCTTCCTCTCCCCTCATCTTACTGTAAAAACCTCTTAAAATAATTCATTCGGCTGTGCTATTCGCTCTTAGAGAGTTTTCCCAGTTCCTGGACCCTTTCAATAAGAAAAATCACAGCATCACGGTTCATATGTTAATTCGTAAGACATTTTCAGGAGGACTTCATTGTTTCAAAGAAAATTTGGATTCCCAGCATCATTTTATTCAACCTAGTACACGAAGCAAACACGTCATCTGGAATGACGATGAGGAGAACAATAGCCGGCAGCGAAAAAGTATAGAAGCAAGTGGAGAGTCCTAAGCCGAATAAGTCCTCCTCCTCTTGCCGTAATTCTTCACGCAGTACGTCCACAACGTATTCGGCCAGTCACGAAACGAAATCCAGGCCGCGGCGTTGCCTCTCCCAAGTCTGCAGGGAACGGCAGCGAAGCCCTGGCTGATCATCTCCTACCTGTCCCGCGCCCAACCCTACAGTCGTCACCTGTCGCTGCTGTGGAGACATTGACAGCGTCGTCCGTGGGTCACGCCCTCAACGACCGGTCGGAGATGGGGAGGAGATGCTGGATGCCTAGGTTGGCGGTTAAACAGGGATTTTTTTCCCTTAGTCAAGCCATCTTAATCGTCTCAAAAACTCGGCCGCCAAGCGCCTCGCCAACACTACAATGGGGATCTGACACACGTACCATCCGAACCGCAACAATATCTTTAGTCTACTCGACCGCTGAGTACTGCGCTCCCACGTGGGCCCGCAGCGTTCGCACAGACGCAATCGACCCGCAGCTAAACGCTTCTCTTCGAGTGGTAACCGGATGCCTCAAGTCGACTCCGCTATCATCGTTCCCACTGCTCGTGCATATTACCCTACCGAAATCCAGCGAGTCATGGTGACAGTGCGCGAGTACAACAATATTATTATCAACCCGTCTCTCCCAATTCATCGATGAGGCCATCCCGTCTCTCCCAATTCATCGATGAGGCCATCCCGTCTCTCCCAATTCATCGATGAGGCCATCCCGTCCCGCCTAATATCAAGGCGCCCTTTCTGGACCGCCGCGAGAATCTTGCACGACCTCGGGTGGTGGGCGGAAGAACGCAGGCGAGAAGCCTGGTCTCACGTGGTCGTGAAATATTAGTGCCTCATCGACGACCCATCCGCTGAGGTACCAGGTCTCACACTCTCAAGCTGCAAATGGGCGATCTTAAATCGCATCCGGACTCCGTATATGGAATCTCAAGGAAGGAAAAATAGAGATTGGAAAATTCCACAAATAAAGATTGTGGCATTTGTGGAGTTGGGCAGAGTGACTTCTAATTTTCAATACCCTATTCACATCTTACGAAGGTGGAATGTGATAAATTGCCATACTGAGCATCGAACGGGTACAAACAACACTCTGGTTTTCCTCAAGGTCGTTAAGATTATTTAGTTTAAGAATATTTCGGTCTGTGGCTGCGTTGTGGATCGTAAGCCACAATATAACAAAAAAGACCGACCCTAGGGTTCGCGTCTGACATAATATTAATAATATATAGGGTAAGAAAAAACGCTCTATCATTTTCTATAGGAGAAACACTGTTTCATAAATACAAAAAAATGTGCACTAGATACGCGATCGATAATTGACAGCCACAAGTTGCTGAAATGCATCCCAGGTTTATCAGCACCCCTGTCTAAATTGTGCAATGCCCATTTAGTAATGAATTAAAGGTGCTTACAGGTGGACCATTTCACCTTAAGTGAGGTAGTGACCTGTACTCCACCGTCTCAGAATTCAATGGACTTTTCAAATTTAACTTTTCAAGGGACAGCTGGCTGATATTTCACAAAGAGGTTCATTAGGGTTTTTTTTATCCGTAAGATGGCACTGTATGCCGATAGAGTGCGCTTTTGTTGGCCGGAGGGCCCCCTGTCTTTGCCCTCTTTTTACTTCAGGAAGAAAACCTATAGGATCTCTTTGTGCCTGTGAACCTTACATGAGCCTCTATGTCAAATATCAGTCGTATCTGAGAACCCTATACAAAACATTGTCTTGAAGCCAATTTTAAAATATATTCATTTAGTCAAAATCAGTCTCAGGCCAAAACTGTGAAAATTTATCTGATTGAACTTTAAGATGATTCCGCATCGATCATTCCCATCCGTGCTCTTTTGCTTCCCGGTTTCGACGGCATCGCAACACTTGCAACGCCGTCGGCACTGGGCCGTCTTCACTTCCAAAAGGTTTACACCTCATTAGGAGTCATCACTACGATCCATGGTTGCCAAAACTTAGCATCTCCTGGCTTGCACACGGTTTGCCCTTCAGACAAAGAACATCTCGGCTCACGTTATTCTAATGGCTTTTAATGAATCGTGAATTTGCACCTTCCGACTAAATACCCTTTACATGAAGTTGTATCATGCAATATACGTTGGAAAGTTTTAAATGTGACATGACGTAACTTGTGACGCGAGGTGGACCCTGTAACCATTCCCAAAGCGTCTTAAATGCCTGTAGACGGTAGGCACGCCGCCTCTTAGGATGCTTTAAAATAAATCGAATTGCACATTACGACAGTATACAAGGTAATCAAAAAGTCATTGTGTAGTAGTATTCAATTACAAAGTAATTTTCTGCACACCATGCATATCACATAATATACGACAGAAATTCACACTCAATACTTCATGAAATATTAGGATCATCCATGATGCACATTATTTATTTCCTGTACATCCCATCTACAATGAGGCTTCATACATCATATCACGAACACTACTGCTGTGACTTATTGATCCCCCAATATAACGAAAATGTCAGATTCAAATCTAATAAATTATTTATTGGCTGAGTACAATGTAAGGGGAGCGCTCTCCCGATCTTTATATTTTCAATTGTGCATTTCGGGCGAAATGCACGGTTGGATTCCTTTTACTGAACACTTCATGTAGCGTTTTAAATATTTGAAAATAAAAAAGAAATATTTTGCACAATTTCTCCTTAATCCTACCCGTGACCTGTGCTTTCTCAACTGTGAGACCATAAGCCTACGTGGAGATGTCCTTCAATTTGTGATGTTGAAATTTTGTGAATGAACACTTTCGTGACATTCGCCATTAGAGACTATGGTGGCTACCTTCAAGCCCTTTCACAAAATTCAAACCTCCTCGTTCGAGGAGGTTTAAATAGTTTCACAACTAAAATGACACTATAATAAAGCTTGCATCTTAATTAGAGAAGTTATTGCAGAAACAATTTCACAACTCCAGTCCGCATGGGTGCCAAAAATAGGTTCTTTCCAATGAATGTAACTGGAGGTCTGTGCGAATAATGAAAATATTTTGAAATAAGTTTCTTTAAATCGATTCTTCTTCAGTTTATACCGATTTTCGTCTGGTCGAATAGGCGTACAATAACCCAATGGCAACTTCATTTAGGAAGCCCCCCCCCACTCCTAATCAGTCTCTCATGGGGTGTTTTTGGAGAGGACGTCCCAACTAATAAAAGATAAAGAAATGACTTGTAGTTAACGAATGTCTTCTTTGTGATGCAAAATTTCGCTATGGCAAAGGAAATTAGCAATTAGTCAATTTAAGCTCAGAGTGCAGGCTCGTATCCCGTTCTCCTGGGTTGCCGGATATCGTGCTGGAGTTGCGCAATTCACGAATGCTTCAGCTACCATATCGGTATTTATATATTTTGCTTTCCTTTATGTATGATGCATTTTTTTTTTCATGGGATGAGTTGAGATTGAAACGATAGTTAGCGATGACAGATCAATGCAGCAGGATATGAACACATCAGAGATCCCTCCACTGGGTTTCTTGAGTTACGAGGAACTACGAAATACGAGCAAGCACTACGCCTTTTTAAGGTTTGTACGATTCCTAACTAAGGAACTAAGAGGATGTACTAAATTTCAGCTGTCCTTCATATTCGGAATGTACTAATAATTAACGTCATCAAAGTCCATCACTAAATGAATTGCGAGGTTACCTGCCGTATGCAACCCTTTCCGCATATTCTTGGCGTAATATGCCAATTTTCGAGGCGCCTTAGTTAAACGACCAGTTATGCTCCAGGGGATAAAATTACCTAGAGCCGAGAGGAAAGATGGATGTCGTTTGTCGGCCCCTGTCCTCATCTTGAATTTGAGAAATGAATGCGAAAATCTATGAGCAGATTTTAGCACCACCAAGTAGCTTGCAGAGTGGGGGACATCGTATGGAATTTAAAACATGGAAAAGGACAGGGAAAGAGTCAATCCCTGAAAATTACTCGGCAGCCTGCTTCATCATGAGGCAGTAAATTAGACTAAACGAGCCCAATAAAAAGTATTTTCAGCCATTAGGTGCTATAACATATAAATTGATAAATCGAATGTTATAGGTCGTCGTACTCCTTCCCGGAGTTCTAGGATTGAATAGGTAAGGCAATCCCAAGGAAGAAATAATCCCAGCTTGAGTCCGACTACGAGAACCACAGTGAAAAACCAAATAGTTCGACCAGTCTCATGGCTAAAAAGCATGGAATGACTCAAACCATGCATATGTGCATATGTGGATGCAGAGTAAATTTTTGTGTATGTGTGAGTGTCCTCATTGGCAAAAATGCAGAACAATTTTTGACGATTCTTTTTTTTTCTTATTTTCATTTCGGTTGTCAAGGTTTTCCGTTTAGTTGAATCAATTGTGATTTGTCAGAAGTCACTATACATTACCCTGTTGATCCACTGGGAGAACCTGAAGGGAAGAAAGGGGAAAACGTATTTTTCGATGAGAAGAGAGGTCAGGGATGCGTATGATGAGTAGGATTAATCCGATCTCACCTATTAACTTTGGTGAAAACTCCATACTGCCCAGGGCGTCTCATGGAGCAAGCACCTTCCTGAAAAAAGTGACTCACAATCCCTTCTACCGTCCAGTGACTGTCCCGTGATGTATTGGAAAGGAAGACCATGGGACTCCCCGAGTCCCCAGGACACACAGTTCGAAAATCTGTGCAGTAGAAATCATCAAGATTATTGCTTTATTCATTTAAAAAAGAAATTGCAGTGAAGTTTCAGTGTTATTAATATGTATGAAGAAATCTAATGACAATACGCAACTCAACGTTTGTCCATGTGTGTGGTCATCTTTACAGTTATCGGCCATCTTTACTTTAATCAGCGATATCACTACCGGCACGGGGCAAGCTCTGACGGTACCAGCATGCACCGGATAATGCTCCCCTTGTGTACAGTCGATTCAAATCTACCACTCCTACTCCTTCATGAATGTTAATGTTCCTATCAAGTTATTCATAGAAATACCCTCGTAGTGTTGCCATCAGTTGGATATCTGAGGTTTCACCCATTTCACCAGTCTTGGCGAAAGGTACTATGTGGACTGCTGTCTTTTCCTTTATATATAACACTAGCTTTTCTAACCCCCTGCGGTCGATCCAGGATCGTCGTAATGCGCCTATACTATACTAGCGAGTTTGTTTGCCCTTCGGACAAACAAACTCGCTGTGGTCGCGCCCTCGGCGCTCCATTACCTTGGATAGTGATTAATTCATTCATTTTTTGCGATATGGGAAACATTTATTTAAAGTACGTCCCCACTGAAATGCATGACATTTGGGGTCGAAAGTCTTCATTTTTATCAAAATCATTACTTCTATGATTGTATGTGTGCCTAGCTTGAAATCCTTTCTTGAGTCCCTTTTCGTAAGGGTGGAGAATACATTTAGAAATATTTCCTTCCAAAAATCTACGCTAAGGAGACATTTCAAAAGTATGATTTTTTCTGTACACAGGTATTTCTGAGGGAAGTTTAAATTTTCTGTCTCTTTTTCGTTGGACCAAAAAAAAATTAGGAAAACGGGACTGAAAAGAGTGCCCTGATGGGTTTTAACGAAAAATTATTTTCTTTTGAAATGTAGACTCAGGGAGCTGGAGCTCAATGCCACACAGTTTCAGCCTAATACGCTTCCCCTTTTTGTTGCCGGAATAAAATGTATTTGGAAAAGCCACACACCCCAAAGCTGTGCTCTGAGGAGACGCACAACAAAAGATGAATTTTTCCTTAAATCAACATCACGTCCGTTATGCGCGCCAGTTGCTAATTTTCTATTTCTGTCAGATTCGCTAGGATATGAAAAATTCTTTGAAAACGTAACGTCCCTAAGAAATGTGCCCCGCCCCCAAAATATTTTGGAAATTTGACATTTTTCCTGCTCTCAGTGCGTCAGCAGCCACGTTCTGGCCAAGTATCAGTTTTCCATGTGTCTCCGTTTGATTGAAGGAAAGAGACACTATTTGAAAATGTGTTCCAGAAGTGTGCCCCTAGTGCTGTGTCATCAAAGTAGAACTTTTCCTGAATTGAGCATAAGAATTGCTACTAATGTCAGTCAGCTACTCACGATCGTATATATATAATAAAATTAGAATTTTTTCTTTACTCAGCTATCCATCAGGTACTTTGCCAAGTTTAAACTTTCATGCGCCCTCCGTTTTGCTGGATCAGAAAATTCGTGAAAAAGCGCCTTTTGCAAAATATGTGCCATCAGCCGTTTTAACCAAAAAGTACCTTTTTTTTTACCGCAATCCATCCTCAGTGAACTACATGCCCACAAAGTTTCAATATAATATTTTGCCCTTTTCGCCGGCAAAAAGACATGTTTGGAAAAGCCGACCCACCCAAAAGCTATGCCCGGAGGAGATGCACCATGAAAACTGAACATTCCCTCGGCTCAGTAATATCATGTCACTTATATGTGTGCAAATTTCACCTTTCCATTTCTGTCAATTCGCCAATTCAATTTTCACTTCAAAACATCGCCTCTCGAAAATAATGGCCCTTTTGGGATGTACCGAGACTTAACATTTTTATATAACTCCCTGTCTCTGTAGTCACATTCATACAAAGTTTCAGCTTTCACTGTTCATCAGTTTAACTATCATTTTAAAAAATTAGTTGAAAAAATCTCCTTTCGAAATTTGTGCCCCCAGGACATTTATTTCCAAAGTCTGAGTTTTTCTGCAGCATCCTAATAGGTAGTTATGTACCAAGTTTAATCTTTTCGCTCTAGCTCAAAACTCCAGGACAAAAAGAAAAACTTGAAAACGTCGGCCACAAAAAATATCCCCCCAGGGAATGAATATATAAATGTTGCATTTTTCTTAAACTCATCGTCTCGATTGGCATGTTCATGCCAGGTTTCATCTTTCCATGTCTCTCCGTTTCACTCAAGCAAAAATAATGTCATGGAGGGGAATAAGTAACGGGACATGGAAGGCAAAAGAAGCGAAATGAAAGCCAAGAATTGAACCCGGAACCACCACCGAACACAGGACATCCAATTCCCTCTCTGAATACCATTCTCATCTGTTACAATATATATATAAGAAAAACGTTTCCTTCCAAAATGTGTACCCCCCAGGGCATGTACTCCAAAGTCGGATTTTTTTCTGAACTCTCCATCACAAAAGGTGCATGTGTACGAAGTTTCAGATTTCTAACTTCTCAAGAACATGGTTACAATTAGCGTCAGTCAGTCAGTCAGTCACGATCGTCTACATATATTAGAAGAACGCGTTGCGGTGAATACCGAGCAATGCAAAGGAAATAAAGTTGCCATCTGATGCTCGGATGAGGCAACCTTCCTTCATAGTGGCAATGATGGATTCCCTCAATTCCTGCATTGCGATGGATTCCTCGTAAGTGTCATTTTCAACCAAGAATATTCGACACAGGAATTCCCAACATGAAGAAACGAGAAGAGACGAGATGAGGAAACTAGTCTTTAGCTTCACTCTAGGAATTGGTTCGTAGGGCTCTTAAGGCCATCCACACTTTGCCTGTTTTGCCCCCTTTGCTTCAATGCTGGGGCAGGTAGGCGGACGCACACGTGCAGAAGCATGTCCACACGTGTGTCCACTAACATTTAAGAGGTTTCACAAAGCACTAGGCTTGCGTGTGGAATTGGGAAAAGCTGAATTAATAATCTCAGAATGGATTCATGCGAACTTGACGCAATCACGGATTACGAGACCATACCTTCAAGAGGAGTATCTGCAGAAAAACCAGCGCAGAACATATTTGAGGTGAGAGTACGAGTAAAGCCGGGGTCTAACGTGAAACGAAGGGTGTCCCGAACGCATTTATTATTGGATATCACCGGGAGTTGAACCTGCGTCAGGACAGCTGCGAGTTTATCCGAGCCGTCATGACCCCAACCGGCCACCTGCATCGTTACGCAATCGAATAAGAAGGCATGCAACACGAACACTGAAGGTTAAATTCTAGGCAGAGATATTAAGAAATTTGGTGTATTACCCATCCTGGCATTCCACTGTCGAGGTTCGCCTCAGAGAAATCAAATCGGTTCGGGAGACATACCAACTGAACTCGAGCCGTTAGAACAGCAGGTCTTCCTAGTTTCAATAAGGCTATATCCGAGTCGTAGTTATTATGCACGTTGAAGTCCCTGTGCAAGATTATTTTAGACACCTGCAAGGAGATTGCGACAGCTTACATAATCAGGAAAGAATTGATGGAAGTTCGAAAATATTAGAAAGTTACTGAACTTGTCTGATCTGCACGTGTTCATCTTTCTTGATATCAGATCGGTAATGCTTCCCAAGGTAGACAAAAATTTCTTCAGGATGCCGAGTTCTGATGGAGCCATCTACAACGACACAATGGGCAGCTGTTAGCACCCATTCTTCCCTAATAAGAGCCCCTCCACATATAACATCTTCCTGCTTCATGTCATAAATGGCCGCTTGCCATGGCCATTCTCCGATTTCAGTTATATTTCCTCCTGCTGATAGCTGAATTTGACTTGCCTTCTTTCCGCATACTACGTATAGAACGGTACAAAAAGAGTCATTCGGAAATAGCAGAGATGTGTCAGGTGAACAAGGAATTTGGTAGTAAAAGAAACCGACCTGGCTTACAAAACGGGGTGGGTCCTGTCCATTCTCCATCTTCTGCACATCTTCTGAATTCCGGTCCCTGCAGTTCATAATATTTCTCGCATCTGTATCTAACGATGCTCGAAAATGCATAGCTTTCATCTGGAATGCAGCTTGCATTGCTTCTTTTAGCAATCTGTTCATATGGGCTGCCACAGGACTCGATAGTAAAGGATCCATGTTGAATGGTGCTGAGTTGTCCGCATCCTTTCACTCCGCCTGTTGGCGAAAAAAGATAGAGTTATTGTTATGTCCGTAGCTGCAATGAATGAGTTAGACACTGAGTTAGTTAGCTCCACTGAGTTAGACCCATATATCGTCGGTGATTTTGCTTGTTTCGATGAATTGCATCTGCCTGGTTTTGCAAGGACTCCAGGACATTTGACCAATCAACATATTTGTTGGGTAGTTGTTACCTCTTTATAGCAATAGGTGCCTTAGGATTCAATTTTCTTCGCGGCCGTGAATAAATTTCATCATGCGGCCACAGCACGTATGAAGTGTACTTATTTTCCGTATGGCTCTGAAGATTTGAGGGCTAAAATTCGAACCATTTGATCATGAAGAATACTGATGGCAAATTGATATATTGTAGCTCAGAGGAAAATGCTCATGTGAACGGGGTTTAGTGGTAAAATCCCAATTTTGATGAATATGATTACACGATTCTAACATTTATAACAGAAAAATGACCTTAAACAAGTGTGCATGGTGAAATAATGTTCAATTCCATGTAAATCTAAGAACGTATATTACTCTGAACGGATATGAACGCCATGGACCAATCTATCACACTGGAAAACGGACTCTCCCTTGAATAGAATTTCCTTTGACCGATTATGACATAGTAAGCTTCATTAAGAAGAGCAACATTGCAAAGAATTAAGTTTGGTATATTTAAAGGTGTTAGGGGAGGAAAAATCGACCGTCTGAGATTGGAAATCTGAAAAGTAATTGTTGTAGGGGGTCCCTAGGGAAGTGCAAAGAGGGGTCGCACAGTCACCTCCGACCCATAGTTTGGCCAAATGTCACTGCCAAAGTTGCCGATAGATGGCCATTTGTTGAGTCGAATTCAAACGACTACAACTCGGAAACCTTTGGCCAGAGAAAAACGCAAATAACGTACTTGGAAAGCTAAGACAATCTAGTTTTATATGAGGGGTTGAGATTCAAGCTGACTTAAAAGTTCAAAGGTCAAACGGCCACATAACTGGGAATAGCCGAATTTTTTAGAATAGTATTTCGACCGCCATTCGGGTCACAGATCAACCACAGATAAAAGCATGCATGCAATTTTAGAGGACCTATCGGTCGATCTGTACACCAAAACTAATGGGCCTCATACAGAGCATTTTGGAGGAAAAGTACCGAAATGTGCTTGAAATTGGGGTGAAAAACGCTACTCGGCGTGGTTTTTTTCTGTTTTTCTCGGCTTCAAGGCAAAAATCTGGAAATGTTCTCTGATAGATCGATAGGGAAGATTCTCTGGATGGCAGTGAGACTTCGCTCGTCCCTTTGCGATGTTCGCTCGGAAAGTTCATTCAAACCAAAATGATATTTCGCCCCCCATTCAACAAAGGTGTCGAAAAACGTCCGAAATCGCATTTCAAACGTAACTCGTGAAATTTTCTCTAATAGAGCAATAGGTATGAGTGCCTGCAGTGCGTGGATGCATTCATCTTTTTGATCTAGGCACTGGTTTCTTCTGAAAATTCATTCAAGCCAAGCGTTTTCGGCAGGATACCCACCGCCCGCTTCCACCGGAGCTAGGCTTTCATCGGCGCTGTCGATCAGGTATCTCTGGGGCAAAATCATGAAATATTTTTTAACACGTCCACAGCAAAGGGTCGCTCGAGTGTATCTATAATCGAAGCACCAACTTTTCTCCTCCCGCTAACTCGTGATTTCTTCTCGTTTTCGGCTGTACCGCACCCCTCTACTCCCTCCCGTACGCTCGCGTGTGAATGCCTCCCTGATCCGCCTTCAACAAGGAAATCTTGAAATTTTCTCTAATGGATCGAAGGAAGGGGTTCTCTGGAATGTATGGACACATTCATGCTTGCAATGTAAGTTCAGGTTCTATTGCAAAGTTCATTCCAACTGAGCGTTCCCTGAAAGATATCCACCGCCCGCCTCCCTCTTAGCTAGCTTTCATCGGCGCTGCCGATTGGGTGTCTCTGGGCGAAAATCATGAAATTTTTTTTGCCATGTCGACAGGAAAGGGTCTCCCTAGTGTATCTATGACCGAAGCACCAACTTTTCTCTCCCCGATCACTCGTGATGCCTCTCGTTTCCGACTGCCCCCCACCACTCTCCTCCCTCCTGTTCGCTCAGGTATGAATGCTTCCCTGATACGCCTTCAAGGTGGAAATCTTAAAATGTTCTCTGATAGATCGATAGAGGTGGTTCTCTGTATTGCATGGACATATTCACATCCGCGATATTTGCTCAGGTTCTCCCGGAAAGTTCATTCAAGTCGAGCGTCTTCGGTAGGATATCCGCCGTACGCCTCTTCCTGACCAGGCTTTCATCGGCCCACCCGATCAGGTGTCTATGTTGCAAAATCGTTGGATCTTTTTTGAGTATTTTCAAAGTACGACGAGTATTTTCGAATGTTCGTCGACAATGAGTCTGGCAAATGTATTTATGACCGCAACACCAAATTTTCTGTCTTCATTCCCTTGGTATGGCCCGACACTTGCAATGATGTCGAATCATTAGTTGCGATTTTGGTAGGGCTCATTAGAGGCTGACCTCTCCGTCATCATTCCATGAAACAGTTTGAATTTACTCCCTTTTTCATGAATTCGTTTTCAAGTAGCGATGTAAAATTCTTGACTATGAATGTTCGGTTTGTCGGATGACTTTGGCTAAAGTCTCGTTTTGCTGAGTCTTTCCTTTCCTATTTTCAATTTGTTATGAATGACGTCACCATTATTACCTCTGAATCTTCCGGAGGCGTTATATCATATAATCCCACATCACGTGGCCGATCGACTCGATATGATTGACCCCACATGCGATTATGCAGCTCCACTGGCAGTGGACTTTTCGATCGGACGTTGGCAAATACAACCTTGACGTTAGTAATTCCGCAATTTCTGAGAAACCTCTTAGCGAAGATGAAAAGCCAATGCCCGCTGATATATTTTATCCTCTTCCCTTTTGATGCCTGCAGTCTCTAAAAATGTATATTTATGTGTGGGTTATTCTGTTTGGTGATGATGGGACTGCGGCCCTCAAACATCAGCCAAAATGACAATTTGGACCTCCATGGTGAAAGGTTGTGAACCACTGAATTATCAGGCAGCTGGCCGACCAGTTCATACATACGTAGCCTGCTGATCGGGCCCGAAAATTTCAGTCCGCAATAGATTTTGATGCCGAGTGTGGGCAACGATTCGAATCGGCACAATGCAGACGGGTTCAGAAAAATCTATCTGTTTAGGCCACTGCCGGATAGAGACAACTGAAGACGGAAGAGCAAATATTGCCTACTAGCGAGTTAGTTTGGCCTTCGGGCAAACAAACCGCTATGGTCGCGCCTTCGGCGCTCCATTACCTTGGATAGTGATTAATTCATTGATTTTTTGTGAAATG